AGGTTTGAAGTTCCTGCAACACCAAGGTGGAACAAGGTTTCTGTCGTCGGTGACCAGCATCGGTGCAGCGAACCGCCTTGTAGCCCAAGGGAACTTGGTGCTCCGTGACGTTGCGGTGCCACTCGAAGCAGTCGGCGTCCACGTCCTTCATGTCTCCATTTATCGTCTCCCGCCGTATGTCACGGAGGAAGCCGTCGTGCAAGCCATCGCCCCGTTCGGAAAAGTAAAGTCCATCACGTACGTGTCGTACCGAGACCGTCCCGACATTCTCACAGGAACGAGGGTGGTCAAGGTGGAAATGGCGAAGCCCATACCAAACTTCATCACCATCCAAGGGCACCGTGTAATGGTGGATTATCGTGGACTGCGACGTGTGTGCAGCCGTTGCGGACAGGAAGGGCACATCGGGCCAGCCTGCAAGACCGCACGCTGCGAACGTTGCGCCGTTTTCGGGCATCCAACAGCGGGCTGCACCGCCCCTTGTTTGCGGTGCGGTCACGCCCACGCAACAGCGGACTGTACCCAGCGTAGGTCATACGCCGCTGTGGCCCACCCAGCGGGAGCCTCTCGACCCCACCAGCCATCGCAGGGTGCCGCAGGCAAGAGCCCCCCTGTTTCTGAGGAGCTCAGTGACAATTTGGACCCCTCCATCCGTCTGCGGGATCGTCCACTGGCCCCAAGTGACACGCCCTCCGGTGACTCATCGAGTGAGTTTTCCACTGTCACCTCTACCGCCGTCAAGTCGCCCGATGTGTTTTCTATGGAAACCCCTGTGCAAGCCATCGTCAAAGCGCAAGTCACCGCCGCGACGCCTCCCACTGCCCCAGCGCAAGTCACCGCCGCGACGCCCACCATCGCCCCAGCGCAAGCTGCCGGCGCGGCGCTCCCCGTCGTTCCGACGCAAGATGACGCTGCGGCGTCTCCCGACGGTCTCGACTTCCAGGAGAGTGATGTGGCCGACTCGAGTCATAGCCCCGGTCGCCTGGTCATCTCCGACGACACGGACCTAACCCCAGGCCAACGAGAGCCTTCCGCCCGTTCTGAGCTGTCGCCGTCAACACAACGTGAGTCGTCCAAGTTTTCTTCTTCTGACGAAGGCGAGGACCGTGGTGATGCGAAACGAACTTTTCCGAGCACTAGCAGCGGCTCGGACGGGCCCATCGCGTCCACCGTCAAGAAAAAGCGTTCCGAGCCTCATGACTCGGACGAGGACTACAGCCTCACGTTTTAGCCAATCCTGTGACCATGCTGTTTTGTTCTTATTTCTTTCTTTTTCTGGGCCTGCACGTGATTACCCTAAACGTTCAGGGTTTTCGCTCCCCCAACAAACAACGTGAGGTTGTACATTTCGCACAGGCGCAACATTGCGATCTGCTTTTTCTTCAGGAAACAAATTTTTTTACCGCACGAGATGTAGCCGAGTTTAAAACAAGGTTTTCTATCCCATGTTACTTTTCTTTTGCTGTGTCACGCTCATGCGGCGTAGGCGTTTTAATTTTTCGCACTTGTTTCCTTAGAGGCGCTTTTTCTCTTTGTGATCCTGATGGCCGCGTCCTTGTATACTCCTTTTTTGTGGGTCATGCTAAGTTTCGGGTAGTGAGTGTGTATGCGCCTGCGCGTGCTTCGGCGTCTAACAGTTTTTTTAGTAGTCTTTTTCAATATGTTCCCGACGACGGTTCCTTTTTTGTGGGTCATGCTAAGTTTCGGGTAGTGAGTGTGTATGCGCCTGCGCGTGCTTCGGCGTCTAACAGTTTTTTTAGTAGTCTTTTTCAATATGTTCCCGACGACGGTTCCTTTTTGCTTTGCGGGGACTTCAATTGTGTAGAAGATTCTGTTCGAGATGTTCGCGGCCCTGGACGTCCCACTTCGAATGCCCGTGAGCTGGTACGAATACTTACGCTCTACGATTTGCGAGATGGCTGGCAGGAGTTGAATGGAACGGCGTACATGTCCACGTGGTCGCGAGGATCCTCGTCGAGCCGTCTGGATCGGGTATATGTTCCTCCCTGCCTAGCTACTCGTATTGAAACCTGCACGGTGCTTTCTTTTCCGACAGCCGCTGGCTACATTTCGGACCATCGCCCAGTGTCCATTGTTTTCGACGTCTCCAGTTTTTTGCAACCGCGAGGCGACACATGGAGAATGGACGTCTCCCTTCTGCGAGATGACCAAGCCCTTTCGAGCCTGCGTCGATCTATAGGGGTGTCATTGACGGTCGTTCCCCTGTCTCACACCCGGTGGGATGGGATCAAGGCTGACTGCCGTTTTCTTGCAACGGCAGCGGGGAAGATGCTTCGACGCAGGACGACCGACGCCCTCAACGAGGTTGTCAACCGCATCCGCGCAGTGCAGCGTGGAGGCGCGCGCACACACCTGATGTCGGAATACCTGGCGGTCCTCCGTGATCGACACCAGCGCCTTTTACGCTTGTCCTCCCGAACGGTTGTCGAGCAGCGGCTGCAGGACCGGCCTGTGGATGACCCAGAGGTTCTTCGGTGCCTCCGCGCCGTGCGAACTGGTGGAGGCGGACCGCCTTTCATTCATAATGTCCAACTTGCGGACGGGAGCTATTCGGACGATCCACACGACATAGACACGGTTTTCAGAGATTTCTTTTCACAACTTTTTTGTTCGGATCACCTTGCATCTGAAAACTTTGCTGAGAAAGTTCGTCAGTTTTGTGGCGACGTTCCTGCTTGCCCCGAGTTCTTGGCCTCGTCTCTCGTGCGTCCCACCGACCGCGATGAACTTTTCGAGATCCTTCGTGCTATGAAGACTGGGTCTGCCCCAGGGCCGGACGGCTTGCCAGCCGAATTTTACGTTTCTTTTTGGGAAATATTCGGGGCCCCTCTTGTCCAGCTGGTCAACGGGATTCTGGAAACCGGCGCCGTTCCGCCATCATTCAAACGTGGTCGCGTGGTGCTCGTCCCTAAGGAAGGTGGCTTACCGTCGGACCCTTCGGCGTGGCGGCCCATAACGCTTTTGAACACCGACTACAAGTTGCTGACGTCGCTGCTTGTTTCCCGTCTGCGCCACATTTTGCCCCATGTTGTAAGCCCAACACAGACGTGTTCCGTACCCGGCAGGAACATCTTTTCGTCCCTGTCCCTCACGCGAAATCTTTTTTTTGTACGCCAATTTTACACACCTGTCAGGGTGCTTCGTCTCTCTCGATCAGGCCAAGGCCTTCGATCGAGTCGAGCACTGTTTTTTGTTTGAAGTTCTGAAAGTTTTTGAATTTCCTGACGCTTTTATAGACTTGCTGCGATCTCTGTACAGTGGGTTGACAAGCCATCTTCAAGTAAATGGGCGGATCCTTGCTCCCTTTTCCGTGACAAGGGGAGTACGGCAGGGTTGCCCCCTGTCTCCTCTGCTTTATGTCCTAAGTCTGGATCCTCTCCTCCGACGCCTTGCGTCTTGCTCCCGTATACGCGGCTTTCCGTTACCCGGCCGCGGTGATGTTGCGGTTAGCGCGTACGCCGACGATGTCAGTTTGTTTTTGCGTGACTCGCAGAGCTTTGAGTCCACTGCGCAGCTTTTTTCAGAGTACGGTTTCCTTTCGGGAGCGCGTTAAAACACCTCCAAAAGCCAAGCTCTTCGTTTCGGAAGCTCCCCTCCTTCCTTACATGCAGACATCCAAATTGTAGCCGTGGTTCGTGTCCTAGGAGTGTTTTTTGACTGTTGTGGAGTGTCGCCACGCACGTGGGAAACTATAACCACTGCGCTCGAACGCCAGGTTGCCGTGGCGGAAACGTTTGCGTTGTCGCTTCGTGACAGAGCGTATCTTGTGAGAGCAGTTTTTTGCTGTCAACTTTTCTATGCGGCCCATGTCGGCCTCCCTCCACCTCGGTTTTGCCGGCGTGTAACGACTTGCCTTTTTAGGTTTTACTGGAGCCAGGGCACGGAGGTCGTGACCAGAGCTGTCCTCCGCCTCTCGACGTCACTCGGAGGAAGGGGAATGCCTTGTATCGATACCATGTCGCGAGTACTCGCGCTTCGCACCATCTTGGGGGTGCTTGACGACACAGAACACCCGGCGCGCTGTTTGGCCTTGTATTTCTTGGGTCCCTCGCGTCGAAGGCTCGTACCTCGGGCCCTAGGAAACCTCTACCAAGCGGTGGTGACTTTTCAAGAGGATTTAGGCAAAATGGTGCCAGACCTAATGGTGCGAGACGAGCCACCGGCTCGTATAGTTGAGGAGGTCTGCTTGACGCGGATCACAGCTGATGAGCGAGTACGGGCAAACGCTTTTCCGTGGGACTCCTTGGTTTCCCGCCGTCTTCCTGGGCCCGTGGAGGACCTCGAGTGGCGTCGAGGATGGGGGGTTCTTCCGACAAGGGATCGTCTGCAACGTTGGGGCATGGTGCCTGATTCCCGGTGCCCGAACTGTGGAGAAGTGGAGACGAACTCCCACGTTTTTGCGACTTGCAGCGTTGCGCGATCATTTTGGCGTCTCGTGCACCATGGTTTTCGCGCTCTGGGCATTGCGCACTACGTCTCGGGCCGCCGCTATCCTCGAGGAGGCTTCGCCGTCCTCCTTTTAGCAGTCGGCCAGCATGTGCTGTGGCAAAATCGTTGTGCTGCAGTGGGCCAGCAGCGTCGTACGCGAGCCATGTGGCCTCTGCTGTCCCGTCTTCGTGGTTCCTTGTACCGTTATCTAGACCGCGAACTCTTTTGGCTGGGAGAGCAGGAGTTCCTGAGACGATGGTCCTGCCTCTACGTCCGTTTGGCCAACGGCCGAATCCTTCTTTCTTTCACGCCACTTCCCTTGGTTTGATAAGGCCTTTAGTGAAAGGGCATCCGAGTTTGCCGTTTTTATCTCTCCTCATGTATCTTTTTTTTTTCCTGAATCAGCATCTTTGGTGCGCTATTTTTGCGTGAGGGATGATATAGTGTGTTCGGTTCTCGTGTAAAGTGTACCCATTGTATCGAAGGGTCCAATAACTATAAATAAGCTAGAAGACCAGTGTGTGTATTATGTATGTGTCCATTTTCATTGAATCGACGTCAATAAACTTTTTCTGAACAGTATCTGTTCTTATCAGCTTAATATCTGATACGGTCCCTACATGGGTCCGCGATATTAACGATATTTTTGTGACTTGGCGGGGTCCTTCCGGGCTTGCCCGGTACCTGCCAGGGTCAGCCCGACATTGCAGTACAGTCGGGATTGGCCTAGTTCCTTCGGGAACGCATAAATCAATCGAAAATCAGCCCCGTGCTAAAAGTTACCTCTCTGCACGTCGAAAACAAGACCCCTCAGGTTTTCTTGTTCTCCAACAGCAGAGAGAAACACGGCTTTTGTCGCACGAGAGTGCAGATTTTTTTGTCTCCGCCTTGGAACGATTTTTGCCGGATCGGACGTCGACTCGGTTTTTTCAGTGAAGGACTCCAGTGCTGTTGTCAGTCCCGAACTTCCCGGAGACACGAGCGGGAAAACCGAGCTGTTCCGCGCCCGCCTTTCTGCATCGTGTCCTCGTTGAAATAGTACGCGCGCCCAATCAAATACAAATTTATAATTCATACATAACTTTTTTTTCTTTTTGTTATGCTCGACACAGATTGTGTTTTCTGTGAGTCCTTCACTCGGAAGGGGCACTTTCTGGCAATGGAAAGAACATTGGTGCACTGGGTTGAGGATGAACTACTTCGCCGTTTGTTGACCGATTTCCGAAAACTTCGAGGACCAAGAGTCGTCTCGTCTGAGCTTCGAGACGTCCAAAGAACAGTGCGGTATGAATGGAACCGGTGCAGGACAGTGCGGTATGAATGAAACTGTCCCGAGCACGCCGCAGAATCACATTAGAAAATAAACGTTTTCCCGTCCGAAATAAAAAATCTAGACTCTGGATGTTTTCACGTTAACACCTGTCCGGAGAACGTAAGTACTCACGTATCTTTTGTCGGAAGTATGTAACTTAACTTGCAGCCGTTTTAAGACGCATTTTATTGGCGCGAACAATTTTTAGAAGAGATGAGGCTGTACGGGAGGGGGGTTGTAACACAGGTCAGCGAACTTTAACTGCTCCACGGGCCTTACACAACAGTTTCCAGGCTACCGAAAGAAACTAAACATCACGTTATTAAAAAAAAAAAAAAAAAACGTGCGTGGAAAAAGCCGGAGGCCCGCTTATCTGTGAGCTGTGGGTATGCCTCTACAAAGTTCATATACAACCCCTGAGCTGGTTGAGGCTGGATATTGAACTTGAAAAAGACGTTTCATCGACCTACGTTCTGGAATGGTGAGGACACAGACTCCGCCATCAATGGTTCGAGATAGCCGGCAGCACTTTGCAAACACACACACAAAACAAAAAACAGAAATGTGTTTTTTTTTTTTTAGGTAATTATGAAATATTTTCTAAGTTTATTTATGAAGAAGAAAAAAAAACGAGAGCGACATTGTATCGACAAAAAACTCGAGCAGACGAGGAATTGGACAAATTCAACGCCAAGCCGCAAAATGACCTTTCTCCGCTTTTCTGTCCCTTTTCCTAATCTTCCTCTTCGGACAAGCTATGCCGCTTTCCACTAACGCCTCCTTCCCCCGATATCGTGAGCTCTTTTCGAAGAAAAAAAAAAGTAACGCGAAGAAAGAACCAGACAACCATATAAGTATGTGTCACGAAAAGAAGAGGCGTATACCCCTACACACCGACACATCACCACGACCCGGGAACAATACGCCTTTCTCCGCATTCCGACCTTATAGCATCGCCCCCCGCAGCTTAACCCTCGCAATGGCCGCCTCCTCCTAAGGGCAGGCGGCGGCACAGCCGGAGAAACGTAAAACACTTATTTGAAGAGCGGTGCGGCACGACCACGCAGAGGGACCGAAGCACGCACGGCGGACCCTTTCAGTCGTCCAATCGACGGTGCCACGACGCGATATCGCAGCCCCCAAAGCGCGCGGCGATTCCACAATAGGCTGTCCATTGCCTCGCTATCAACGCCCGAAAAAAACGCCGGCCGCAATAGGAACGCTCCTCCCGTGTTTGAAGAGCCGCGCACGACGACGCGATTTCCATCGCCCGCCCCTCAACGAAGTACCGGCGCGCTGGGACGACGGACTCCGAATAAACAAGCACAGACACACACACAATGCTTCATTTGCCCCTAAGCTGACAGTGCTGCGTGCTCGCAGGACCAGTTCACCGCCTCCCTTGGCACCACGTGACCAGCCCCGCTCTGGATCGCATAGTCCAGGGAGAGGTTCACGGCTCGTGGTGGGCCTCCGCTGTGGTCCGTCGCCGTCTTGCACAAACAGCCGGTCGTCCCGAGCACGGCGAGCCGAATCGTCGAAGGAAGCGGCGTGGGGGGCAACGCGAGGAATGCCCGGAATGCCCGCCCGTCCGTTTTGGTGGAGGAGGTAAGGAATGGACGGCGAGACCGGGACCGGAACTGGGCTTGTCCGACGAGGATGAAGCGGAGACAAAAAGGGGGTCAAGTGAATCTCGAGAGACGACCTCTTGGTCCATTGTGACGGACGACAAGGAGGGAAGGCAGAACGCCCAAGAGGGGCAAGGACACGCGATTGACGTTTCATCGAGACAGGCCCCGAGTGTTCGTGGGAAACATCAGATGTGTTTCTCGTCAGCTAAGAGGGACACGGGCAAGTTCGTCGGTGGAACCCGCATAGGCGTGAAGCATGCGCCGTCGTAGCCACTCAAACAACGGAAAAGGAAAAATGTAGAATGGGTAGTGTTTCCGTGACCAGGAGGTCGAACCCGAGCCGTTTGAGGCCACGTGACTTGCAAACCTCACCTAGGAGGGTTCCGATTTACTATGCGGCTGTCCAAAATCATATAATGTCAGTCAGAGTTACTAATAGCTTCTGTGGGCATCATTAAATAACATATACGGAGATATTAAAAACGGACTCTGAAAAAAGCCTACGGCTAAAACGTGTTCTACGTTAATGATAGAGCATAATTACCGAATGTTTTACGAAAGAACTACCGATCAAGACGCGCGCTAAGAGAGCCACGCGTCTTTTTGAACGCAATTGCGCTCCATCTTTCAGCAGTGCAGCTCTAGCCGCGCGTTGGTTCACCCGACTCCATCCAGCGCGATAGCTAGCTGGTGCCGTAAATCACGAGAATCTCGGGCAACTGTATACTCCCCTAGCATTCCACGAAACTCCACTTCTGTCCATACGACTATACAGCTCCCCTCGCACAAAGGCAGAATAATACCGCAGCGCGGAAAGTTTGTATAACTATACGCACAAGCTCGCTCACGGGGAAACGCTCCGGGCGCGTCCGCATATTAAAAGCTGGCCGAACCCCGTTTCTGCGTCCGCAAGCGCGCGCAATATAACCGCGGAAAACGAGCAAGGACGCGTACAACCTCACGCAGCGACGGTTGCTTCCGGAAACACCGCAGTGCAGAAACCAAAACGACGCTGGCGGGCCACTAAACTCGCGTCACTTCATGGTGGACCACAGCGAACGCTACGAGCAACCGCAGCCAATCCGAAGCTCGGAAATTATCACGTGACCGTGGCACCTCCTGAAGGTCCCTCGTCGCTTCACTAGATCGTGCAGTGCGTCCGGCGGACGCGTCGCAGCCCGTGCTCCGAGTGAAGGGACAAGCTCCCGCTGGGAAAGCAAAGCCTTCGCGTACGGTCTACGAAGTCTGTACTGGCTCGCTTCGTCTGCGGTCCGTGGTAGGATGCAACGGGGTACACGCAGACTAGTCCTCGCACGCACCCGCGCATAAACAAAAAGGCAAGGAGCGCCTTTTCCCGAAAAGACGTTACGACGAGAAAAGGCAGTAACGAGGCGATCGTGCCGCATCCCGTCCGGAGAGGAACAGGCCGCGACCGCGCACACTGTGTCTGTGGCGCGGCAGCAGCACGGAGAAACTGTCGTAAAAATGTTCGAACGACTCGTCTTCTTTTGGAACAACCAGGCTGCTCCAATTCCTCGGGCATAGCTGCGCCGTTTATGACCCGGTCTTTTCATTTTAATTATTTGTTCCTTCGACGAGGCGGTCCTTGTAAAAGCCGCCGGAGAAAGAACGAAACACTTATAGGAAAGGTTATACGATATCAAACCACAGCAAACGAAACAGATCAAAGCCACCGGGACATGATGCAGCAGCGGTCAGTTTCTCTCAACTTCGTAAAAAAACAAGCCTCCTTGCGTGTTTTTTTTTTTTTTTTTCTTTGTTCCCGTTGGGGGGGACCAATATAGGTTTTACGATCAGACACGGTTCTTGCCATACTCAAGAGCAAACTGCAGCGAGTTCCACGGCAGCGTGAGATATACTAATAAAACTTTTTTTTTCGGAGGCACCAAGGTTACTAAGATAGGACCAACTTTCTAGCAATTTCCCCGGAGTGAATTATTTGTTGCCTTCGCTCCTGTGCCGTGTCCCCCCCCCCCCCCCCCCTTTCCCCCCTCTCCTTTATTTTTCATGTGTGTGTGTGTGTTTTAACCTTGACGGCTGCGCGCGTTTGTTGCAATTTTATTTATTTGTCCTTTCTCTCAATCCATGAAAAACCATGTTCATGAACTTGCCAAAGTTCCGATTCGAAGCGGTGATAGTATCGCAAATTCTTCTGGGCAACACGTGATCTCAAAAGTCCCTGTGTGCACCATCAAAGAGAAGAAAAAACAAAACAACATCGGCGCATACCAGGTAGGAACTAACAAATGTATAACTAGACCAAAAGCACTAAACACAAATGGGGAGATCTTTTTTTTTTTTTTTGCCGATTATTACCGATAAATGTCGCCAAATATCATCTTGTAAATCGGTGAAATAACAAACAAACAGACTTCCAACATTTGATCGATGGGCGTTTACTATTATTTTTATTGTATTTCTTTTTCTTTTACTTCTGAAACGTATGTTGTAGAATAGAAAGCATACAAAGGGTAAGCAGGAGATGAGATAATGGCAGTATTTCTGGGCAACTGAAATCCGAGGGCTCCAGAAACCAGGTGAAGAGCACCGTCCATATTTCCAGGCCGTTGCGCTTTTTGCTGCTTCCACGTGATGTTTTTAAAACAGATTTTATACCTCGGAGCTTCGTCCACGCATCACAGATACCGGTAAACGCTCAGAATTTCTACTAGTGAAATAAGCACCAACTCACGCCATCAAATCTTCCAAATCTCAGCGTCAAAGCACCGGAAACCTTATGTTAAGCACGTATGCGCCATCTGCCAAAATTG